TAAGAATTCTCCATCGTTTCGAACCGTGTGCAGTTTTTCTTCAGAGAGTATTATTTCCAAGAGCATCATCCAGTCGAAATGGGGTTGCATTATTAAAGCTTCTGTTTTTTTTCTTTCATAAAGACCATTATTATTATCGTCATTCGGAAGATTTCCATTGTCGCGGTTACATTTAAATCATGACATGTTAATTTTACTTTCCAGTCATTTCTGAAGATTTACATGATGTCTCCTTGTTCTGAGTTGCCAAGAGGAACGTTTAACAAGGCCACGGCACCTGCAGTGCATGGATGCAAAACAGCACCTCTCTATTGGGCTGAACAAAGGCATTATCGAATACCTACGAATATCCCTCAATCCATATGCATATGCACCACAGATAAGCCCCTTCATTATGGGGTTGCTGGCAAGCTGCTAGTTCAATACTGACGGCAAGAATAGCAACCTCACCTTACTTCTCCTGATTCATACGGCATAGTCGCCTCGCCCCGTAGTAGTCCAGAAGACCGTTTAAACAGGTCATGACTCCATGATACTTTTGCACCCGCACTATTTTTGCTATATATATATGCCTACGGACTGAGCTATATTCATTAGTGTTGGAACAGGTTTTTGTTCTACCCAACGTAGTGGCGTTGTTTTGCACGTACGCACTGCAGATGCTAAAATAGCATGAAGCTGTGGCTTGTTTTAACGGTCCCCTAGGCCACTAGAAGTTAGAGGAAGGTGTTGTACGTCATGTAAATCTGAAGAAGTGACAGTAGAATGTTATTCTTACAAGCGGGTTGAAAACTAGCAGTGTGGCACTGAACCTATAATAACGGGTTTAATCTTAGTTTGCATTTGATGATATTTTTGTTCGTGTTTTGAGCATTAACTGATTCATGATTTTGTATTATCACTATCACTGTCATTATTTTCTGCCTTTCATTTTTACTGTCTTAATCTACATATGTACAAATTCCATCGTCATCAATAATTCATCATCATGATCAATGCCGGTTGCAATTGCATTTCAGTGGTTTTCTTTTTTCCATTCCCGTGACTTATACATGCTGCTAATTTTCTCACAGTTGATATATTCAAGAAGTTACTTGTACTGCTGTATATGAGACCGGGAAGATTTCTACATACTGACTGTTTCTATCAGACGTTTTTGTTCTGTGTTCCCTACGGGATTGTTATCGAATGTCAGTAAACATTTGACTAGCCGTGTGCACATTTTGAACTACTTAATTTAGGGACGAAAACATCTTATGGCAAACCTCGCACGACATTGTCCATATTAGAACAGCGACAGAGCCTTCCAATCTACAAGCTGAAGGAAGAACTGGTGAAAGCTGTCAACGACAACCAGATATTGATTGTCATCGGAGAGACTGGAAGTGGAAAAACGACGCAGATAACGCAGTACCTTGCAGACGCAGGTTATACTGTCAGGGGCAAGATCGGCTGTACGCAGCCCCGTCGTGTAGCAGCGATGTCCGTCGCCAAGAGGGTGTCTGAGGAATTTGGCTGCCGCCTTGGCCAAGAAGTTGGGTACACAATTCGATTCGAAGATTGCACTAGTCCGGATACAATCATTAAGGTAACGTGCGTTCGGTATCTTTTTCTTGAATATGCTTACCAGCGCTTTATGTTTTTTAAGCTGGCCTAATAGATTACCAAAGAGCAAATTTTAAGTTTTAATTTGAATATGGTTATTTAATTGAAA